ACTGATATTTTACAAAAATATAAAACAAAAATTTTAAATTAAATAAAAAAAATATATTAAAATAAATCGAAATTCAAATCATATATGTACACGTTATTACACGTTACCCTCACATTAGGATTTTCTCTTGTATCGTGGAGGCAGTTTACATACACAAATTGCACAAGGACAAATATCCAGACCCGGAACAATTATTTGTAGGCCATACAAATACTTGTTCCGTGCGGAATTCGAATCCGCGGCCCCCAGCGCAGCTACTCATTGCTAAGCCACTGCACCACAGAGCAGTCAAACCATTTTGATTCTTCATTGAGGATAAATGTGGATGTCTAAAGGCCACAGCATCCACTTACCATCAGAAGGACTGCGTGCTCATTAGTCACCTTATTACAGTTACATTGGTCCGTTATCTATCGTTACTGCCTCGTTGGTCTAGTGGTTGTAGTAGCGCAACTGCTGATCATGAGGTCCTGAGTTCGAATCCCGGGTCGGGCCAAAAATAATTAATTATTAAGTTTTTCCGTCAAAAAAATTCTCGTTAGTTGCCCGGAGTCAGGAAGTTGGCGGTGACTCATCCCTGTGCCTCGGAAAGCACGTAAAGCCATTGGTCCTGCGCCTGATCTCTCCGGTCGTGTCGGTTTACCGTCCCATCGGATTATAAGAGTGAGCGAATAGAGAGTGTACCTGTGCTTGCGTATACACTTGGGCACTATAATCCTGTCCTGCGCCGATGGCTTGCCTCCGTTGAGGCAGGCCGCCGTGGCCGGAATTCGGTCTGGAAGGAAGAATCTATCCATAACAAAGTATAAAGGTCCACTGCTGAACATGCGCCTCTTCCAAAGAAATTGCCTGATAGGTACGATTTTGCCATAGTTGCCACGACTCGCAGACGGGTTGACAACCGCAGTTTTTATTATTTTTAGTTGCATCAGGAAGATACTGTCCATCTTCTATTGTCGTCTCCCTCTGGCGCCTCTTACGACACCCACGGGACGATATGGAGTAGTGGATATTCTTGCACCGCCACTACACGGCTTACTGCACAGGCGTAGTAGTTACTTTCATACGTGGTAGAGCCACGCTGCAGCTATATTATAGTTGTAGCACGAATGGGTCGAGCGGGGCAGGACCACGCTCTCACAGAATACCAATGTAAACTTGCAGCTCAATGCTGCTGTGTTCCGGAGAGCTTTTTTACTTGAAACGAGGCATTCCATCTTAGTCCTCATGGGTGACAATGCATTTAACACATAAAAAAACAGTCGAATTGAATACCTCCCTTTTTTGGAGTCGGTAAAAAGACCAACTACAGGAAATTATACATCATTTCCCGTAGTTGCTCGCTTGTTATAATTACGTGGTAAAGCCATGCTGCAGTTACATGTTTGTAGCATGAATCGGTCGGCTCCACCATGGAAGGACCACGCTCTCACAGAATACCAGCGCAAATACACAAAAGCTCAACGCTGTTGTGTTTCGTATGGTACGTGTAGAGAACCGGAGCCTTTTTACTGGATACGAGGCATTCGGTCTTAGTCCTCAGGGTGACAACGCATCTGCATTTTGATTCTTGCTCGGGATAAATGTAGATGTCTATGGGCCATCACATCCACTTAGCATCACGTGGACTGTGTACCATTTGTCACCATAAAAAAAAACTAATTGGTGACGTAAAAAAAACTTCAAAGCTCTTTTAATTTCGCCTTTATTGACAGAATTCCATTTAACACTTTCAATTTCTATATAATACTACACTGAACAATAAATCAAGGCTCGTAACCATTTGATATTATTTATTATATCACTCATCATTGCAGGTTGCCAGTTTCAGGTGTATATTAAGTATTGTGATTGCAAGTTTAAGGAATACAATATACCTAACATTAATATTATTGACTTTTGCCATTCGATATATACATAATTTTAAAAATGGTGTAAAGTTCTCTTACTCGTTGGCATCAACTAACTTATTGTTTAAATACTACTACTACACCACCAAGCATCGCTTTTATTTTTCTAGTCTTTATAGCTTGCCAGGTTATGTTGTATTGCTCAAATGGTTATAAGACTTATCATCATTATATTAAGAATTAAAATCAATATTTTTATTTTACACGACCACGGAATTATACTAACAATTATATTTAGATTTAATAATTATTATATTTTTCATTACAATTACTTGCTAACGTCAACAGTGAAAGGTGACTTAGCAAATACAAATTAAAAATAATAAATATTTAAAATCGATTCCATAGACATTCCTAAGTGACTCTATACGAACACATAAAATTAAAGTGTCTGTTTGTAATGTCAAAATATCTGCTTATTACTAAATGCATATGAAAGTATATGTATATGATACTTACAGCAAAAACTTTTTTTTGTCATCTGTCTGTTTGTTCAGACTAATCCACGAAACAACTGGACCAATTTTGATGGGACAGATAGCTAACGTTATAAGGAATAACTTAGGCTACTTTTATTTTAGAAAAGTTATTAGGGTGTCGCGCAAAAAAAAAATATAAAATGTAATCGTAATAAATTACACGCGAACGATGCCGCGAGGAACAGCTAGTAATAAAATAAATTCACTATATTTATGAGTCGACAATTACATTTTTCGTAATTCAGCAGAATTAAAAAGATGGTTGAAAATTTTTGAGCACATAAAGTAAAATAGGACCTACAAATTTTTCTACTAAATATAAATCATTATCTCCCTATCACTGTAGACACATGTCTAACTAAATAATAAAATAAAATCTCCAAACAGTACTGAACTACCGGTACTTTTCTTAATGATTAAAGTTGCAACACTGGCGAAGCTGCCTGTAGCAGACAGCCAAATTCAAAAACATTTCAACTTATAACTCAAATTGCATTCATTTCAATCACATACAACATTTATTACAAAACATTTGTAAAATTATGGGGAGAAAATTTTAATTAAGTAATATTAATATGGAAATTAAAGCAAATAATACAAAAATCTTTAATATTTCTTGCTTTGGAAGTAACTAACTGAAACTGCATCATGCATTGGAGAAATATTCCAGACTGGACTTCACTTAAACATGTTAATTTATTGATTAATTGCTGTCTAATATATAAAAAAAATGTTTAAAGGTAACGGTGAATGTTTAAAGAAACTGTATAATATGACAAATAAAATTCCTAAAAATTCCTGTCGATATACTATGCAATTCAATAAGCAGGGTGGGCAAAATAGATATTCAAACTAGATAGCAAAACAGATTGTACCAAATTAAAATTTGGTTACACAGGGCAAGAGTATGGCTAGAAAAAATTCAAGAATTACAATCATTGATGAAGCTTTCATTTAAAAATAAAAAAAATAAACTGCCCTTTTAAGTCCTACAGCGGCTACTTGACAACAATTAATTTAGCAAAACAGGAATATAGATAAAACCTTTTATTAATAAAATTGACCATTTTACACTTTTAATTTTCATGCTATTTGCGATGTCTACTCCCACTTTAAATTAATAAATAAATAATTTCAGTTTCCTTGAAAAAATCTCTTAAAATATTAGTGCAGGACCACTCACCCCATTTTAGCATAAGGGAAAAAACCCCTTCAATCATGAATAAATTACTTATTAATACACAATATTATCTATCTAATGTTTATTTGCACAAAGGTCAAACTTGTGAAAAATACAAACTTAAAATTAATGTGATACCCACAAAAGTAAATTAAATCAGTCATTTTAATGGCTAAGTATATTTTTAAATTACGGAACAAAAACCAAGACATTGTTTTCAGAAAAACAGAAATAGATAATAATGATCATGTTTTTCATTCACATGCATTTTTAATTTTACTATTTGGTCTGTATATTATATACCTAAATAAAAATATGTATTCCAGAAATATAATACGATAAAGAATAGAATGTCCTGACTTTGGTTCTTACACTCAACATTAATGTTGCTTCATTTTGAAATAATACATGGGTACTACTGTACATTTTAATTAGTTATCAAAATCAATATAAAATTTATTTTAAATATGTAGATAAAATACATAAAATTCAATCCAATACACTGTTTAAATTAAGTTACTTTAAAAATTAACTAACTCATATTGGTTTATGTAAAATAAAATGTACCTATTTTACAGTGACTTATTAAAAAATAAAATAATTTTAGCTGAGTTTCTTTATATTGAGTTGGAGAGGGCCCCATCTCAAGTATAATTACAATCAAGTATAATTACTGACAATCTAATAGTTTATTTACAAACTAAATTGTACATCTCAAGCAAATTAGGATGTCAACAATTTAAGTAAAATTGTTTAAAAAAAATAGGCCATATTTTCATAAAATGAATTTTTTATTTAATTGGTATTATGAAAAAAGTTTGATTTTGCTATAAACTAAAATGACTTCCACCCTTGCAAATTTTACACAGGTGACTTCTTGAATTGAAAAGCTTTATTGAGTTTTTAAATATGTACTTAAAATACCATTAAATAAATACATGAAATTTCTACATATATTTTTTAATTTAATTTCACATCAAGATAGAACAGATAAATTTGAATTAAAACATGAATTATTTCAAAAATGTCAATCACTGATTTTATTGCTTGAAAATTAAAATTAGGACTGCATTTCTTGTAACAATGGAAATTATGACAAATATTTACAGACTATTCTTTCCAAGTTAAAGAAGCACTTTTGCCATAATATTTCAAAATAAAGAGATAATTGCACAATATCAAATACAATCGGTATTAGATTTTTATTTAAAGCTACTGTATAACCACAAATTGTAAGGGGAACTACCATAGATAATAAACTCTACATCATTAAAATCTATATTAAGCTTATACAAGACTTGTCATAATATAATCAACCTGAATATAAAATTTGTGATATCTGAACAAATTCTTGACAAACATCTCATAGTGTTCAACTTAACATTATGTGCCAATGCAGACATGTTACTTAAGAATACTGTAAACCACTAATTAATTATATGGATACCATGGTGATTGGTACGGACTTCGATAGTAATTTGAGTTTGGATCTCCATACATAGGTTGTACATTTTGCAGAGGTGTAATATGCTGGTTGCTAAAGCTCTGGTCATGTCTCCATGTATATTTATCTGGACTATTTGTAGGGTCCTCTGATGCAGTTTGATTAGAATGTGTTCTGAAGTCTAAGGGGCCTTCAAGGAAAATATTATCATTGTACCGGCATTGAGGCATAGGCCAATCTATTTTATCAGGTGAGCTTAATACACTTCTAAATGGTGTGCTGGCAGGCTCAGTGTACTTAGTTTTTGGTCGCTTCTTAGGAATTGTGGGTAAGACTGCTGGAGCTGGAGGTGTATTTGGTAGGGTTTGTTTTTTAACCATAAACTTATGAAATTCTCCTTGAAATGCACTAGGGTTCTTGTTGATGGGTGTTACAACTGTTGGTATACGAGGGTTTGGATCTGTGCGCAAACTCGGATATGGTTCTGGTGGTAATGCATTAGATTTCGGTGGCAATGAGTTTGATTTTGGTGATACTGAGGTTGATTTTGGTGGTAATAAACTTGATTTTGGTGGTAACAAACTTGAATTTGGTGGCAATAAAGTTGATTTTGTTGGCAATAAAATTGATTTTTGTGGCTTTCTTCGCTGCTTTTTTGGTTTATATGTTTTGGGTGGTGTTTGAGGATCATTTATTTTGTCAGCTTTCTTATCTTCCATTTTGCCCACCTGGGTTTCTTTCATCTCAGTACTTAAAACTGACAAATCAGTTTGACTAGGTAAGAATGCTTCCGGAGGGTTGTTATATTCAACAATTACTTTCTTTTTTGGAGTGCGTGGCTTTCTCGGCTTCCTTTCAGCTTTTTGTTCTACTTCACTCTCATTGACCTTCAGCTCTTTCTTTATTGTTTCTCTTTTTATCTTTTCTTTTTTGGGCCTTTCTTTCTGCTCGCCATCTTTCACTGATGATTTTCGTTTTTTAGGTTCCTTTTTTTCATTTACTTCACTTTTTACAACAGGAATGTTCATTGTACTATTTAACAGTGGGTCAGGATCAGGTTTAGGTTCACTAACACTGACAGGAACCTGATTAACATCATGTAGGGGCGATTCAGAGTTAGAGACAACGGCTGCCGTATTTTGTAACTGCTCTTCAGGGACTTTCTTGGATTTTCTAGTTCTCCTTTTTCGTGGTTTTGGAGGTTGTTGGGTTTTATTGAGCTTTTCCTCCTCACCCTCTTTGACTTTTTCTTTTGGCTCCTTCTTTGGGCCAATTTTCCTTTTTTTACGGGCTTTAGAAATCTTTTTTATTTTTGGCGCCCCATAATCAGAATCTTTATCAGAATCCATATATCCAACATCAGGCAATTGTGCTTCTGATGGATCCATCTCATCTCCTTTTAGCCAGATATCTTCGAGAACATCAAGTTGAGTTTCATCGGGCATTATGGGCCTTTTCATTGAGGTCATCATGTCTAGATCGCCCTCTGCCATAGTCATCTCATCATCATCCATGACGTCATGACCAAGGATAGAAACAGCAATGGCCCCCTCTGATATGCTCTTACTTGCCATAGCTCTTTTCAAGTGTAGAGGGTGACGCTTCTTCTTTTTTTGGCCCTCAACTTCAGCTTCGATGAATGACTCTGGAAGTTCAGTGTTGTTCTTATTACAAAGTATGTCTTGACCAGACGGATGTGGTGCTGGGACCATCTTCTCAGGCTGTTCTGGATGGCATCCAATATCTTTACCTTTAAGCCAGAGTTCATAGCGATCAGGTTGGAAACGCTTCACAAATGTATCCATAGAAATCTTCACCATATCATTGCTGCATGTGCATTGTAGAGCTCTTTTCCCATACTCAACCCAACGAGGTGCTGCAAAGTTTGTAGACTCGGCACAATTGAAACCATGGTTAAAACCAGCGTGGTAACCATAAGGAAATGTAATCATGATTTCACCAGCCCTTTGTGTCATTTTATTAACTGGTACGGAATACTGCTTCAGAATTTGAGGAGATATCAAGGTCATTTTGTGACGAAGAAATGCTTGACATGTCTTTGCTGATGTCGGGAAGAACCCAGAGGCTATTCTCTCGAACCTCTTGCCATGTTCCGGTGGGATGGCGTACCAGGTTTTCGGCTCGCCAAAATGCAAGTAGTTAATTGAGTACAAATCCATATCCTCTGTGTGCCAAGCGAAAGTCGTTTTCCACATTCCGAAATAAAGGTATGCAGTGTTAACACCATCAATTTCAATCCCATAATCGGAATTTACAAAGTCGAGGATTGTGCCCAGACGATTGATGTTCCATTCTTTCACATCAGGATCTGTTATGCTTCCATTGACGTCAGCACCATATATTGGAGCAACATATGTAACATTTTTCCAATATTTCCTCTCCAAATCTTCATAGTTAGTGTGCCGGGGAGTGCAGTACTTCGCGGAGTTAGCCATAACTGAAAACTGCTTCACCGTCATTGCTTTCTTCTGTATATTGATTTGTTGAAACAAACCTTGCTTGCCGGTGACCACTTGACAGATGGGAGACGGTATAGTAATGTTTAACTCGTCCAAATCGTAGCCTTTCTTTCTTGGAACCCATTCTGGTGGTGGTATAACTTTAGCGAGCCCAGCCTTGTGTGCTCCCTTTGATTCCATGTACTGTATATAATTGTTGAAATCTTTAAACTCATCCCATGTGGGACGAAATACCTGGATAGCGTTTCCACAAACTCCCGAAGCATCTTCCCCGGCTAAAGACATGATGGCTTATAACAACAAATTCACATAGAATCAACAATATTTCATCATTCGAAAATCACTTGTATTACACTACTAATCCACTCCACTTGGGTCTTTTATTGTTTTTACGATAAATAAAATTACGGCATATACTTTCTGTCTAATATCCAAATAATACACACGCGATAAACCAATGATAATTATTCGAAAACATTATCAGTAAAATGGCCGACATGAATGAGATGCGCTTACAACAAAATCTCTAACTCTAGGCTCCGAATTGGGTCACGTACTCCGTATCCGTAGACAGAGAAACATACTCACTACACTACACTGAAATCAGACCAAAGAGTAGCTTAAGGCACGGCAAATTCTACGACAGTGGATTTTTATAAATATTATTTTGAGTATATCATTAAAGCTTCTTCTACAATACGGCAACACCACTAGTAAACACTGCGAAGTTAAGGTCGTTATGTTGGTATTGACGCGTTATTTTGACAGATGTGTTTTACAAATTAGGCGTATTTTGTTAGGTTATGAGTTAAGAAATTTCGCTCTCTTCGAAACTAAGAAACAAAATCAAATGAATTTACCTGAAAAGATTCTTCGAATTCTTCCACCAAATTACCGCTACCGTTGGATGGTGCCGCCATCTTGAGTTTTTTAATCACCACTTGCGATAGCACAATTGTTATTTCAAATGTCACAATCACACAACTCAAGCAAACAAGCACTCCGCTCTGTGAGGCAAACGCAGCGTCGTCGTCGCGTCGGTTTGTAATACTTTGACATGCGTCACTCACGCACACAACCATTTCATAAGAAAGGGAAGTGCAAGCTTGTTACTGTCTCATTTCAATTATCAATAATGTAAAGTACAGGGGTACCACAAAAATAGAAAAAGATAATCGTACAAAATACGTAGGTAACTACAGATATGTAGCTAGGTACTATTTTATAGATATTAGGTGTGGTAATATGTATAAGTATCGATCGTTCTTTCTTTCTTTGATGAGTTAATGACAATGGTGATTTAATTTTATATCAAATAATATTTTCCAATAAATTTAAAACTGCATAAATACTCCCAATTACCTATATATCAATTAAGTTTGTGTCTCGGTTTTTTTTTAAAGCCAAAAATAGGAAGGGACGTCCAAAGAGTATATAACATGCCCCCTCTAAAAAAAGTAAAGTCCACCACTGCGCACTGCAGTAGGATCTTGATAATGACGTGTAGCTGTATTGTAGGACAATAATTTGCTACCACGTCTTTAAAAGCTCTTAGACCCCATTCCCCATAAATTCTATAAGTACCGTAAGAAACGACAGTAGTGATAACAGCACAAAATATTTAAAAAATCTGCCATGTGATATATATAAATATCAAGGGGATATTTGCTATGGAACTATAGCAGTAATCTCCTTATGAAGCAAAATATGGGGAAGGTCTATAAATAGAAATGAATGGAATAGAATAATTTTTATTCAATATTGATTACATAAAATTTTCATTTAAAGTTATTTTTGACTTTTACCACTGTTTCGGAAAAAACTCTATCCTGGGAAGAACCAACAAGAAACCCAGCGGGACTTTTTTAAAGCATAACTTACAATATAATATTTATACAATTGTTATGGAAACATGAAGAAACAGCATGGTAGCGATCACGTCGTTCCTAGGGGTTATTATCACTCATGTACCCTTTAGTGGTATAATAACCTAAAATCTAAACAAGTTTGAACCTAAACAATTTTGCTTAACAAATATTTTAAACCTTTTGATAGATAAGGTCTGCATATTATGTGAGGCTTTCTTGCAAAAGCGTATTCAATGCCCCATGAAAGAAATACTTACTCTTTGGAGTCGAGTAACTGGTATAACTTGTGCTTGTTCCTAGTATTTACATAATGCACATCACTATTCTTAATAAAACTATTTTTTTTTGTGTACATACATTAAATTTTCGTAAATATATTGAGAGGCCAAAGTAAATATATTTATTTCTTTAAATTTTTCTTCAGGGGATTCCTTCGGACCAAAGTTATAAATTTTCTTATGGCTCTCTTTTGCAAAACAAAGATAGATTCAATGTCAGTCGCATTACCCCATAGTAAGATTCCATATGACATTATGCTATGGAAATAACTAAAATAAGCTAATCTAGCTGTTTCAACACATGTAAGGCCTTTAATCTTTTTACAGCATATGCTGCAGAACTAAGTTTCTAAGCAAATTTAGATATATAAGGGCCCCATTGAAGCTTCGCGCCAACTGTAATTCCGATAAAACGGTGGATTAAACAAGGCTCGGCTCCTCCCCATTTAAATTTAATTAATTATGGAGAGGATTAACATTAGGTGTGGTGAATTTAATTCAATCTGTTTTATTGCCCTTTAAAAGCAAATTGTGACGTTAAACCAATGTACTACTTTTGATATAGCATTATTCACTTCATTATATTATAATAATTGTCTTTTAAGTCGGTAGGTCAACGAAGTATCATCAGCAAATAAAACTACATCATGATTATTCCCTACCAATATATAGCAGTCAGTTTTTGATAGGTTATAAAGATTGAATGAATGGACAGTATCTAGAGAAAGTAGAGAGGAAAATGGGTATTACGTTCGCAATCACGGAAATCGTAATAATAAAACAATTACTATTTATGTCTTCGCAATCGATTTAATGGTAATTGTGGTGGAGCGAGAAAAGAGGAAGCAAACAGCAGTCGTGCCGCGGTATTTACGAGTATACTATTCACAGAGTATTTTTATATACCTGAAATACTATCGTAGCAGTGCACTCTGTATACGTTCCGCGAAGCAAGCCCGTTGTCGACAAACATAAATACAAAAAATATTTCAAATACTTACCTCCTTAGCTCTACGTTTGCAGTGTTTTTTTTTTAATTTGGTAATGAATGCAAAGATATTGTAATGTTATTTACTACAGTAGTCTCATGACATCGAAAGGATGAAATCGAATGACGATTTATCTTACGTCACTATTACATAGTCAAAACTCAAAACATTGAATGTTTGACCTTGAATTGGCGTGTTTTAACATCATATCATGTGCAGCGTACTTAATATACATGGTTATAAATAAGCAGTAATCATTATAACCTAAGTCTGTAAGCGAACAGCTGGGCCAGAGTTGAATGAACTGAATTGTAAACCAACACACGTGACCAAATCAAGCATAACCTTGATACCGTTTTTTAATGTTAAAAATACTCTATACCTAGAAATTTGAAAATCAGTCATCTTATGCTTGTTACGTTAGCGTAAGATGACGTAGTGCTTGTGGGTAGTTAATTAAGTAATTTTGTACTCATTTTTTGTAGGAAAATATGAGTAAAATATGTTTTTATTTTTATTCTTTTCTTAGATATACTTGTAGCTAAAATTTGTCAAAGTATCATAAACTGAAGTTAATATATAATAACATTTTGTAATGAACTTAAAACGTTTTATACTTTTATTTTATGATTAATAAATTGTTTAGTAGTAATACATAACCTACATCAATTTCGTTTATCATCAACAAATAATATACCTATAAATTACCACTCATTAACTCTCTAACCTCAATGGCATATAAGTAGTTATTCTACTCAACTGTACTTTACCTATGTTTTGTCTTTAATCTTTATTACCAATTAGTATAATAATAGTTCGCAATTACCTATAATTATACCCTTTACAGCTTCAGCTACAACTACGACTTCGTATCTACGCCTACACAGTAGGACTTAGAGTAATTAAATACATACATAGCCTTGGTACTCAGCAGTAGCATTAAGCTTATTTTGGGCTTAAGCTTATTAACAATGTCTGTGGTATTGGCCGCGATCTTTAATTCTTGCGCACCATCGCTAGCATATAATTAGTATAGTGCCCGCGTTATCAATTGAATTGTCAAGCAATAAATTATTGCAATCAGTCTATCTCGCTCGTAATCATTGGGCATATGGAGCGTCATAATCATGTCCGTAACAGCAGGTATTCGATATTGATAAAAGTTAATGAATGGGTTTTTTAATGTTTGAAATTATGGGTGAATCTTGAGAGGCTCCATTTACGTTGTCAGAAGAAAAAATGTACCCGTAGTACTAAAACAAAAACCAATATATTTTTATGCTACTATAATGTATAATCCAACTGAGGCATGATAATTTTTATTTCTAATTTGGTACAAAATAGTCGAAAGAAAATCCGAAAGGTAATATTAATATCCCTGGCTCGTCTGCTTCATATTTCGCCAACAATTTACCAACAAAACACTTACTTATGAACGGAAATAAAATAAACAATACGGTCTAAACGCTACCAGGTTTGTTGCTGATATTTAAAAAAATATATCGTATGTGCATTTATGAAAGTTTTATTAAGAATTATAAATATAAAGTTTGTCCGAGACTACACGATTACACGAGACGACAGTGATTCCCGTGGCGCATCACTAAATTATGCACATCCCTAGTGGAATTTTCTAGAGGAGTGCCTACGCGTCGTATCCCTCCTCCTCGAATCCTCTTCGTCGTATGAGCGCTACTATAGTAGCGATTCTAACGTCACTGATAAAATAACAAAGTAAAATAAAATTTACATTTATAAAAGCAATATTATATTACAAACTATCTAAGAGTATAACTTTGTAATGGCTCGAATCGTGTAATGTTAAATATAATTATGTTAATATATGTTTTAAAATAAAAGTATACTGTAACTATAAAAAAAAATATTTATTATTTAACAAATACAAAGATTTAAAAAAATAGAAAAAATGAATTATAATTTTTCTATAAGTCGTTTTAAAATTTTTCATTTGAATTTCTTCCAGTTTTGGACACAAGCATGTGCGAATTTCGAATACGTGTGTGAAATCTGTTATATATAAATTTCCTGTTGAATACTAAGCCGTCTAAAGTTTTAACTCTTGATAAAGGAAGATATCGTCGTATCCTACGAATAAGGACACAATTGCTGAGCGCAAACTTTTCAAGAGA